TACGGGCCAGCAACGAAACAGAGGAAAATGACGGAGAGCGAGAGAGGGAGAGAAGGACGGAAAGAGCGAGTTCCGATGACGAGATGGGAGAGAGTATAGCCGAAACACTATATCGATCTACGGGCCAGCAACGAAACAGAGGAAGAATGACGGAGAGAGAGAGAGGGAGAGAGGGACGGAAAGAGCGAGTTCTGATGATGAGATGGGAGCCAGACTGCGCTAGCGCCGACGACGATGACGATGGCGACGAGGATCGGCTGGAGATCGTGGAGGAGGACCGTTGCTGCCGCCGCGTCGCCAAGGCTTGTCAACGGAGAGGAGAAGGACGAGAAAGGAAGAATAGATTCCGCGAAGGAAGAGAAGGATGCAGTCACACGAACGGAACAAGAACGCAAGAGATGAAAGAAACGGAAATACTTAAAATGGGTGAGTGAAACAAACTGTGTCGGCATATCGTCGTAAGTAAAGTTAAAAACGATAGTTTCAAACCACAGCGTATAATATACAAGGTGATAGTAAAATACTCAAGCACTTTACCTGTATACACATGCACCATGTGTCTTATCCCTTATCCAAAAGGTGCACGTTAAGTTATTGAGATGCTTATAGGCTACTTGCGGAGCGGAACAATATTTATAATAATGAAGGCCGATACAGTTGTTTCACAAACTTACCTGACATTGTATGTATGCATGTATGTAGGTTTATGGTTGTTTGTATTTACGTTTTTTTTAAAGTTGTCGTAACGGTACGTTTACACTATATTTTCGGACTGCTAAACACATTCTTCAATTAGAGTTTGATATAGGCCTAAAATATTTCATCGAAAATCTGAAATCAGTTTTGCGTATTTTTGTTGGCTGTATGATGTGTGGAAGATTAAAGGTTGTCAGGTCCACATCGGTGCTGTAATAATGGATTATTGTAATAATGGATTATGGTAATAATCGGTGCTGTGTGTTAATAATGGTTTAATGATTTAAATGGGTTAATGGTTAATAATGGTTGAAATGAGGATTATGAATATGATATAATGGAGTACAAGGCTGGATGTATTTAAACGTGGTTTCGGTAATGCGTGTCGGTACACGCATACGCCACGTACGTTAGAGCACAAAAAGACGCAAGAGTGAGAGTAATTGCAGCGATATCAAAATGTTCACTGCCAAATGTGTTGAGTTTCTGACTTGTATTGTGATCGAACTTTATCGTTACTTGTTTTGTATAGGAAGTCTTATGCTTCATATGTGTTTTCTTATTGTATTTTGATTGTTGTTATAGTTGTGTATTGATTTTGGGTTGTTTAATCGGACAGAAAGACGTTTCTCTCGTTGGGTTGAGTTAGGAAAGTATTAGGGTAGTAATTTTTTTTGGAATTGTTTAGGTTTAGGTTGAAGTGTAGATCAGCGAGGACGCTGAATCGATGACAGGGTAGTCATCGTTTTGGGGAAAAGGGAGATAATGTAACATGTGTTTTGCACGTGTTACATGAATTAGTCAGCGAGGCTAGACTAGTAGTTGTTTTAGTCATAGTCTAGCTAGACAGAGCGTCGCGCATCTTGTTGCAGCTACATTGATGTATTAGGGAGAATTGTAAACGTGGTTAGGTTAGGCAGATTAGAGGGTCATTGTGAAATGGGGGTAGGACGCGGTCTGGGAGAACGGGTACATGTGCGTGGTGCATGTGGTTTGTAGGAGTTTTGGGGGGAATATATAGAGAGAGATGTAAGAGTAGGGAGGATTCGGGTTCTGGTCGCGAGAGTACGACCGCGACCGCGCGGGTCTTTGTCTGTGTGTAAGGAGATGTGATGTGTGTAAGATATTAAAGGTTATACAGTTTACAACAACAAGTTTGGATTCTTCTACTTCATCATTTCTAGGTGAACACTCATCGCTGTTTACAATACACACACGTACCTACCACATGCAAAGGGTATGGTAGCGATATATATATATCAAGAGTAGATGATAGGGAATCCCTATTATCTACTCCTGATATATATCTCATTCACATGAGATACGTGGTTGCATGATAATCTCATTGCTTCTAAACATAACTTCTCAAAAGATAACCGATTGTGAAATAAATATAAAAACATGCATAATTAGTGAATAATTACATAGTGATTAGTATTAGTGATCTGTAGAGAGATCCACGGAGTACATACCTTCGCCTTGTGGTATAAGGATAAAAAGTCATTTTTCAAGGAACCAATGCGTCAGTGTGGTAAGCATATAGGAATCGGCACAGCAACCACATAGAAAAGGATACCCGAAAAGGTTAGACATGCACAACCCATAGCACAGCAGGAACATGGTGAAAATAGCATGTCACACGTACACGCAACTCTTATAATACTCATTAGTTTAGCTTTACTACACATACTATAATCAATTATATAGCTATTAATTATAAAGTTTTAAATCTTGATGTTAAGCATGTTAATGAGCATAGGTTCCCACGCAAGAAAACATGGTTAAACTAGAGCACTCGGAGAGCACAGACCTTCGCCAATTAAGGCAGCTGAATTCTGTCACTGTGAAAATTTTTATTAATTAATTAATTAATTGGATCCGGATGACGACGAAAATGTAATCAATTCTAAGTTACCCGATTTTTGACGTATCCTGAAAATTTAATTAATTAATTAATTAATTGATTGGATCCGGATCACCACCAAAATGTAATCAATTCTAAGTTCCCCCATTTGTGACCTATCCTGAAAATTTTATTAATTAATTAATTGGATCCGGATCACCACCAAAATCTCATCAATTCTAAGTTAGCCCATTTCTGACCTATCCTGAAAATTTTATGACAATCCGTCCATAAGTTTTTCAGCTAGGCTGTACACAAACAAACCCACAAACACACAAACGAACAAACACACGCCAGTGAAAACATAACCTCCTGCCAACCCCTTGGCGGAGGTAATAACTGTATGGCACTTGTAGTTGTAGTACTAAATCTGTCGCAACTACTACGTGCATAACAAAAAGAGCATTTAGGGTTAATGAAATTATAACAGAAGTAGATTATACAAAATGTACAGTGTCTTATTATTGTACCCAGCTCTGGGAAATATATATTATATATATATATATATATTATATATTTACCCCACCATACCCCTATAATGCATTGCATTCCCCACACCACACATCTACCCAACCTTGCGTCCACCCCAACCCCCACACCAAGTGTCTCTCCCCCACCATTGGCTTTCCCCAGTACAACTCTCCTCAGCCTTGCCTCTCCCAACCGACTCTCTCCCCCTGTCATGATGCTACCTTCTCAGGCTTATGCATTAGTATTCGTTTGAACTTCCTCATATTCTGGCCTCGCCTCCTCCATCTCATTCTCCCATGTCTTTACCTCCATTAATGCACCTCTCTTTCGATCTTGCCTCCCCCACCCAACTCTCTTACAGCCATTATCTCCCACCCTCCACCTAACTCTTCACTGCCGCTACTTCCTCCCAACCCCTCGCCTTGCCTTCACTCACCTGACTGGTCCTCAATCCAACCCTCCCCCTAAACACCTCCCCCATCTGGTACTTTCCTCCCCCAACACCTCCCGCTCCGGGCCTTTCCTCCCCCAACACCTCCCGCTCCGGGCCTTTCCTCCCCCAACACCTCCCGCTCCGGGCCTTTCCTCCCCCAACACCTCCCGCTCCGGGCCTTGCCTCCCCCCA